GCAAGCGCGAGGTCGTGAGTTCAATTCCCGGTACCAGAAAAAAAACAAAACAAAACAAAATAAAACAGGAAACAGAGTTGAGTCTCAACAGAGTTTTGTCATTTACCTATCATCTGACCTTGGGACTGTTACTTATTCTCGGCCAGCTTTAGCCTCCTTATCTGTAGCACAGAGCCAAAGGTGTCTGTATTGTGGGCCTACCACAAGGGCTGATGGGGCTCCACAGAAAGTGAGTGAACACTATAGAAAGAGCTGTATGGCCAAGCGGGAAGATCAAGGAATGAAATTCCCCCTTTGATTAAAAAATGAACAATTACAATACACGGATAAATGATCTTTCAGATTTACGTACCCTTCTTAATGTTCAATGACCAGCAGCAACAAATCAGGAGGTATTTCACACGTGGCTGGTTTTGTTCTTAAACTGAAAAAGCTTTTGTCTCCATATTAAATGATGACTGCTATCTCTGTTAAGGAAATAAAACCTGATGATTAGTCTTGCAAACAAGAGAATTAAAGGAAGCACAGTTTATCACATTTCCTCTGCTCAAAGTGACATTTTGACATGCTGCCACTACTTCCACTAATTACCTGATAAGCAGAACACGGGAAAGTAACATGGGAAAGAGGCAAGAGACTGGACTTTGCAACCGTTCTAGCTTTAAGAGAAACATAACTCTGTGACCTTCAGCAAATCACTTAATAGTTCCAAACTTCAGTTTCCTTGTCTGTAAAAGCAGGCAAGAAGATCTACCTAAGAAAGATCAGATCTTTTTAAAAGATCAGGTACATTGTAAGTAATGTGCTTCATTAGTGGGAGGCCAGGGATTTGAACCCCAGTGATCTGAAGGGCCTGGCCAACAAGTAAGAAAGCCCCACCACAACCCATAGATTGGGGTTTCTACTAGTTTAGCTGTTCCCTGACTCTTCTTCCTGCCGTCTCTTTCCAGTGGCTGGATGAAAACATTTTTCAGGATTTGAATCATTTCCTTTTTTCACACTGAAATTATGGCCCACATGAGATTTTACTGCTAGAAACAGAAGATCCTGCACATCCAAATAATGACCAGATGCAGTCATATCTGGCACAAAGGTTCGGCTTCAGCTGTCCTAGGAGCCAGTTGGCAGCTTGGGCTGCAGTTGCTGGATTCAGTTATGTCAGGACAAATAAACCCTACCTGTGAGTCCTCCAAAAAGAGTGAGGAATGCCCAGGCAAGTCCCATCGTGAGGTGGGGTTTGCTCTTTCTAGAAGCCTTTCTTTCCACCCTCAGACTTCTGCCCATTCTTGCAGGTCTTTCTGCTAGACATCATCCCAACAAACCTGCCATTCATGCTTCTGTTTTTCTGGATGCTTACTGCCTTATGGTCAGACATGTGCGCTTAGGCGGGTTCCATGGCCTAGTTTCTAAGGTTTTCCCAGCTTTTCACACTGGAGTCCAGCTGACCAAGCCAGAATCTCCACCATGTCGTCCTGATTTCTCCTTACAAGATTTCACACAGGGCCAGTCACCCGAGAAGTTCACCAGAAACTTCTGTTCATTCACCAGTTGATTCTTGTTAAGGTTCAAGATGGGCCCGGAACTATGTTCTTAGTGGAAGCAAGTGAGTGGGTGTAGATCAGACTATTAACAGATTTACTTTGCAGAAGGATGTCTTCATTTAACTTATTTTCACTGTTCTAGAGAAGTTGTACATTTTTTTTGACAACTCCCTTCCATTTTCTCCCCAGAATAATTTTTTTACTCTTCAATACTAAATAGCACACTGTATTTTAATATTTATAGTTCAGGCAAAGATGCATTCAACAAGTTCCCTGATACAATGGTTTCTATTCCAAGAATAGCAAATAAAACAATTTTGAGTTGCAGTTCAGCGTGGGCATACGTTATGGTCTGTGTCTCTGTGCCATGTAGTTAGAGTGAAGAGGTAGTATCTTTTCCTTCTCACCAGGGGTCAGTAAATTTTTTCTGTAAAGGACCAGAGAGTAAATATTCTTTGCAGGCCAAATTGTCTGTGTTGCAAAACTACTTAACTTTGCCCTTGTAGCATGACTGCAATCATAGACAATCTGTAAATTGAGCAGGTATGATTGTTCCCAATAAAACTTCATTTACAGATGGGCGTAGTAGTGCACACCTGTAATCCCAGCACTCTGGGAAGCTAAGGCAGGAGGAGCCCAAGTTTGAGCCTAGCCTGGGCAACTTAGGTATATGCCGTCTCAAAATGAAAAAAAAAATAGGAGTGGGGGTATAGCCCAGCATTGTAAAGGCCTTGCGTTCATCTCCAGTACTGAAAAGCAAAGGTAAAAAGAAACAAGAACCACAACAAAAACTATTTACAAAAGCCGGGCATGGTGGTGCATGCTTATACTCTCAGCTACTCGTGAAGCTAAGGAGAGAGAGGATCATGAGTTCAGGACCCTGTCTCACAAAAAACAAAACAAAACAAAACACACACGATGCTTTCTTTATAACAAGAGGTGGGCCACATTTGGCCCACATGTGTCCTTTGCAGTTCTCTGCTTTAGTCTTTTGTGAGCACTCATTTCTCTGTGCCTTGAAACTCTTTATTTTGCCCTAAAGGTTTTTTTCTGTGCTACTTATTTTTAAGTGCAGTTTATTTTGAGTGCAAGATAATCACCATTTCCCAAAAGGTTGAGAAATTAATGCAGAAAATAGCACCGAATGAAGAATGCACGTTATTATGAATGATGTATCTAGCAATCCTTCCCACTCTCGAGTCTGCCTTCATTTCTTTGGTAAGTAAAAGAAACCTTCATTACATTATATGAACAAACTATTTTTAGCACCCTGAAAATGTTTATTTCTATGGATTTGTTTTCATTGTTCAAGTAATACATTTTTCTGTGCATATCTTAGTCTGGAATGGAATGGATCAGAGTTTTCCTAATATAATTACTGGAAGTCTCTTTCGGTTTAATAGCTTTTCACTCAGCAGTGGAATGTTCAGGGATGAATTCCTGCATGTCAGTGATGGATAGGACTAATTCAGTGCAAGCCCCAACTGCCTTCCATTCTGGGGTGGTGGGCAGTCCAACGCAGGTGAAGGTTACTTTGAGTGGCAACCTATAGCCCCCATTCCATGTCAGTCAGGACCCTGAAAGGTGTGAGGAGATTTGGAGAAGGAAGTAGGGAAGGAGTGGGCCCCTGTAGTGTGTGCGGATGGCTGTCCCCACCCCTGTGTACAAGAGGCTTTATCAAGCGGGTCACATGCATTGTATGGCAGTGATCCCGTTTCCCCATCTTTCTGTATCTGCCTTTCCCATGCCACCCGAGGCTATTCCTTGGTCTCAATGTCCTCGTTTGTAAAACAGTTAAAAATGCTTTTGATATCCAGTATTTAGGTTTACCATGAAGTTAAAATAAAGTGTTATGCCCATGTGGAGTATCATGATTGGTTGAGAATGGTGACTCCATAGGCACTGGTGTCTTCTTCCGTTTTCTGTTTATTTTATATTTTTGTTTTTTTGAGACAGAGTCTTGCTATGCAGTTCAGGCTGGCTTGGAACTCACTATGTAGCCCAGCTTGGCCTTAAAGTTGCAACAATGCTCCTGCCTCAGCCTCCTGAGGGCTGGATTACAGGCATGCACAACCACACTGGCAGGCACTGGTGTTTGAGGTTTCTAAGCTGCTTTTTAAGAAAAATATTTCTAGACAGGGTCTTGCTATGTAGTCTGGGCTGGCCTTGAACTCACCATGGAGCCGAGGCTCGCCTCAGCCTGATGGCAGTCCTCTTGCCTCAGCCTCCCGAGGGCTAGGATTGCAGGTGTGTAGCTATGCCTGCCTTTTTCCTAAACTGGTTTTTAAGAGCGACTGGCTAGGGCTTACTTGAGTGATTTCATTGCTCTTATTTCCTTTCGTCTTCATTGTGATGGGCCAGAAACTGTTGTTATTGGGACTGTGGTACTGAATGTGACAGATATGGTCCTTGACGTCATGGAGTGCACAATATAAGACGTATTACTGAGTCAAGGTCGAACACTCCTGGGGCAATCCCATGCTAGGGGCCAAAACACTGCTAGGACGTGTTGCTGAATAACAGCAACTGCCAGTGAGCGCAGAGAGCTACAGGGTATTATGATGTCACAATTTAACCAAAGCCTTCTGTTTCTCTGACTGGGATGATATGAAATAAGCAGAAAGTAGGGTAGAATATGTTCTGGAAGAATCTGGCAAAACTGGAAGACTCTCATGCTATGGGCTTCAGGATGACCACAGCCTGCTAGAAAAGATGCGTGGTCACGTTACGCTGAGTGCATCAGCGCGTGCTGAGCCCTGCTGTGACTCCCCAAGCCGTGTGCACAGGCTTCCTTCTTCTGCTTTGTAGATGCAGCTGAACCCTCCACCCTCACGCCTGCAACCTGATGACCTCCAGAAAAATAGGACCAGGGAGGGAGCATTTGTGAATTCGTGGTATCTGGATCATGAAGTCAAATCTTTGTCATTTCCATAACCTTGGAGTGTCAGTTGCCCTTCCTCAGGAGGAAAGATTTTCATAACCGAAATTGTTATAATCAAAGAAATCAAAGATCCAGACATTCATCAGTCTTCTCCATGAAACTAAATGTCTTTGAATTCATGCTGGGGAATCTGCGGAAATAGCCACTTTATAGAGATGCAAAAACCTACTATCCGGTGGCTGCCTCGGGGGGAATCAGAGCACAAAATACACAGGTGCAGTTTTCATCCAAACACCCAGGGAAGAAGCCTTTACCATCTCTTTTGTGGTTGCTAATAAGCTTAATTCGTATACTTAACTGTCTTTTGTACATTTCTTAGCACCACAAGGAGGAAGTGCTTTTTCTTCCTTAAAAAAGTTCAATCCAAACCATCAGCCTCTGTAGGTTGTCTTAATTGCTACTTTGCACTGCCCTGGACTGTGACTCTGATTTTTGGCACATGCTATCATACACAAAGTTCCTAAAATAAATGCTCCAGGATATCCTAGGAGCTGTTAGAAGGCTTTAAAAAGGGACTCACACACTGAAAGAATATCTTTGATGAGGACAATTCAGGCAAGCAGCACGATTATTGCAGCAGAATTACATAATTAGCTGAGATCTTGAAGTGGGTTGGGCGAGTCCTTGCCACCTAACTTATCATGGTTGGGGGGAGGCTGATGAGAATCCAGTTTTGATAAAGACAATTGTTTTCTCCTCCCCAAGTGACTATACATTTAAATAGCTAAAACATCTGTTCAGCAACATAGTAAAACATGTATACTCGGAACGCTTGAGAGAGGAGCCTGCCAAATAATCGGTTGAGAGGGACTTTGCTGAAGGAGAGCACCAAGATAAAGCAACCGCTGTTTGTTTTGTCTAGTCAGGAGAAAAGCCAAGGCAACCAATATTTTGAATCTCTTTTATTTCATTTGTGAAAGATTACTTGAGAGAGGGTGGCGAGGGGAGGTTTCCTGACAGGAATTTCTGAAGCTGTCCATTGGTAGAAGAGCAAGAGCAAGAGCAAGAGCAAGAGCAAGAGAGCCTTGGATGTCAACACCTACCAAGCTCTTGGGACCGTCCACCAAACCACGAGCAGTGACTTTCTTCCTGAGCGCTCTCTCCAGCCCTTCTGATGGAAGCAGAATCGGGGAGCAGCATGGAGACTGGAAAGGGGACCAACAGAGGCACTCGAATTGCCCTGGTTGTGTTCGTTGGTGGCACCCTGGTGCTGGGCACAATCCTCTTTCTAGGTAAGTCAAGCGCTGGAGACCAGGGGGACTGGATGTGTGCTTAGATGTTTCCTTGTGCTTTATTCCAGCAAACCTCGTCACCATGCAGGTGTCCGGCTGGCTGTTTACTTGTGTTTGTAGGTAGTGCATCCTCCGTTTCTGTCAGGTATGCAAATGAGAAAAGCAGCTTTTCTTTACTAGCAAATGTATAGTCCAGATGGCAAAGGAGGTAGAAAGAAGTTTTGAATGGCTCCTGGATCTGGTTGGACTGAGGAGACAAATTTCATGTATTACATTTCACAAATCGAGTGCTTATGAATTCGTCGGGAGAAACTTCACTTGTTTTGTGAGGAGAGACTTTACATAGTGATCAGGGCCATGCCAGAATTTCTTTTCATTTGGCTTTTGTTGATGTTTGCCTGAATGAACCACAGAATTTAATTCATGAGGTACAAATCTGTCCTTTAAAGTGCACTCTTAATGGTTTTCTTCAAGTCCTTTCTAATCCAGAGACGCTGATGGGATGCATGCTAACCCTGCCTTCCTAATAGATTTATAATTTCATATGGAGGAAAACAGAGGTTTTTCTCCAAAGATTTGAAAGGTATTGTGACTCAATTATTTTAATGACTCATGGTGAGAATGATGTGCCCATACTGGATGTGACGATAAAAGTGTGTGCCTATGAGAAAGAATCAAGTATCTTGGAAGTGGGTGAAGGGTGAACTTACATTTTAGGCTTTTGGAACCCTTGGCTACTAGCCCTTTCCTCATACAACCCATAATATTTCATTAGTTTGAAAGTTACTTAGGGACAGCCTTTTGCTTAGGAGATTGTAGGTGCGCTTTGAAATGCAGCAGGCCTGGAAACATTCCTTGGCATATACAGGATGGAGGAGGCCATGTTTATTTTGGCAGGGACAAACCAGTAATTAAACTTGAAAAGAGTTAGGGTTGTGTGGTTGAGAACTCTGCTAAAATGAGCAGACCATCTTTCCATGTTTTGTGTGGCTAAGATTTAGGAAATTAGATAAGTTTATTGCTTTCTGGTGAAGCTAAACCTCCTACTCCTGCACCTGAGTTTGTGGCCCTTGAAAACTGTTGTGAGATTTTAATTTCAAAGCTTGGGCTTTACAGGCATGTCCTCTTCTGGAATTCAAAACTGGAGGAGAAATTCTGTGGGCATGCCAAGGGACTGCACACTACGTGGGAAGTGACTACAAGGTTAGGTCTTGCAAACTCTTCCAGACTTAAAAACCCAAATGATAAGCATGCACGTAAAAGTATGCACGCTTTTAAATGATGTTACCTCTGCTTGAAACGTTTTCCAAATTGCACGTTTATGATCATTACAGTCTGAGATTGTAGCATATTAGCTGACAGATTCTCCATGACAGCAAAGCTTTGTTCTTTGAGAGAAAATCACTCTCTGGCCACAGTGCTAAACTCTTTATTTGCTAGGCAAGTCCTCTACCACTGAGCTACATCTCATCCCTGTATAACAGTTTAACTGGGCATAGCCTCAGGAGACTGCCTCCATTTGGATGCACTGTACATGTAGGGACCCTTAATTTTGGTCAAATTTTTCAACACTACTTCATGCTAATCCCCTTCCATACTCCTTTTTTATTGCCTGTCCCTTAGACCCTGTTACCCACCTGAATTCTGCAGCTAGCAGTGTGCTTGTCTGACAATCTCCAAGGATCTGCCAGGCGGTGGTTTTCAGGGTAGTATTCTGGTCAAGGTCATCTCCTCAGGTGCTTTCTGGTTCATTTTTGTGGCATATTTTTCTGCCTGTTCAAGTTCAATCATATGTCTGCAATTTCTAGCATCCTTCTTTACCGCTTCTTTGTCTCTGAGGCTCTGGGTTAATTTCTCTTCTAAACTCTGGTGGTTCTATAGTAAGGATGATTGCCAGTGGCTTTGGAGTGGGTTCAAAGAATGTAGAGTGCTGGAATTGAGGAGGTCAGATATGACTGTATGCCTATGCCCAGTTTATTTGCATGTGTCTTTTCTCCTCTGTCTCTTCCCCTCTTCCTCACAGTCTGCTTCGCAGATGCAGTGTCCGCAGACTATTTCTGTCAAGATCAGACAGTGAATACTCTGGACTTCGTGGTGGGTATTATGGTCTCGCAATATGCACACAAATGGCCAGGGCCAGGTACCAGTGGAATTTGATTTCTGGACATTGAGATTTGAATTTTATGTATTTTTTAGGCACTAAAAATGTCAAGGCAAGGCAGTTCACAGAAACAAGCTGCGTTGATTTGGCCTGTGACCCCTTCTGCCTTGTCCTTCTCACACTCTTGATCTTGGATGATTTCACTGTATTTTGAGGGCGTTTATACATCTTATTGAGAAATAAAAGGGAGAGCTCAAACTCTTAATTTTTTTAAGAGCTCCTAATCATAAAAAGTAACATTAAAAAAATTTTTTTTTTGTCTTTTGAGGGAAGGTCTTGCTATGCAGTTCAGCTTGGCCTTGAGCTCACTTTGTAGCCCAGGCTGGCCTCAAACTCAAAGTGATCCTCCTGCCTCAGCCTCCCAAGTGCTGGGATTACAGGCGTGCTCCACCATGCCTGAGTAAAATTTTTATATTAATATATTTTTAATTTTTCTGTTTCATGTATTTATACCTTCACCTTATTGGGACTTATTGATCCTTACTTATTTTCAGGATCTTAAAATACCTCCCACCCATGGATATAAAGTTCTTCCTTGAGGAGTCAAATTTGTCTCTGTCCCAGTCAATTAAATTAAAAATCATCCTTCTACTGCTTGTCAGATAAAGATAACTGATTTTAGGTCTGATTCCTTAGAGATCTGTGTCAAGAATTATTTTTTATGAGAGGAAGAAGTGTTTAACTTTTTTATGAACCTTTTTCTAAAAAGTAAGACTAGTGCCAAGAACGTTATTGTTCAGAATCATAAAAATACCATTATTACGTCTAATAAGGTACATATACTTTTCTATTATAAGAATAACACATGCTCCTTTAAGAACATTTGGTAAACACACAAAAGTAGATCGACGGGAAAAAACTCCCTCCATTGTTCCACCACTCAGGCATATTGGAATATTCTGCACTAATCTTTATTCTGCTCATATATATTTTACCTAACTTTTTAAAGAAATCAAAACACACTTTTATTCTAGGAAACTTCTTTTGTTAAAAATAGGCCGGAGCTAGTCTGTAGGCAGTTTTCTTGACTTTATGAGGCAACGCAGGTGAAAACGCTGTTTGGAGGACGGCTGCAGAGAAAAGAACAAAGTAAAATCAGGCTGCCCTTAGAATGCGGGGTGATAAATAATACAGCGTGCCACAGGGGCAGGTGGTTTGCGTCTGCTGTCTCTAGCGGAAACATAGACGCGGCCACGCTTCCTGCCTGTGTTTCTCTGCTGGGGGCGGCACTAACGGCCTCAGGGCCCATCCACCCTCCACGCTTCATCTCCTCGAGGCCAGGGCCACATCTTAAAATGACTTCTTGTTTCTGCTCACAGAGAAGACACTATTTCGAATATTTCAGAAGTTTTAACTGACATCTGCTAATGCCCAGGTGCTACCTGGAGTTCACAAATAGGGCATCCTTCTGCGCTTCTGCAGAAATCCATTTGGGTAATTTTGCTAGGCAGGTGAGGAAATCAAGGCGTTGGTGAGAGAAAAAGCTGTTTTGATTGTGCAGGATTTGGTTTGTTTGTTGTTTGTTGTTTGTGGTGTGGGGGATCAAACCCTGGGCAAGCCCTGGTTGTGTGTGTGTGTGTGTGTGTGTGTGTGTGTGTGTGTGTGTGTATCGAGGGAAGAAGTAGCTGGAATTTTAGTTCTCAAAGCTACATGTCTGGTGGCTAGGCCGGGCGTCACAGGAGGGGATGTCTGGGACTCCAGGCAGGCAGACAATAACCATTGCCAGGTGACTGAGTTACCCGTAGTACATTTTTAGCCTTCCCTTCCTCTTTTGGTCATATCTGTATGGAGTTTAGATAAGATCGGGAACTCTAAATACCACACGTGCTAGATTTCTCCTTTTACTCTGGAGTTGCTCCGAATGACATAGTTTAAAAGCTTCAATTTTTCCATCCCTAAGAGGGTGACATAGTTTTGATGAGTGGAAACGTGAGACTTACACCTCAGATAATCGGAGATGGGAGACACTTGAAAGGTCATATAACCCAGTACATGGGTGTCAGCCACAGGGTGATAAAACACAGCTGGCCAGCTGGGGGTGTAACTCAGTGGCAGAGCCGGTTTAGCATCGGTAAGGCTCTGGGTTCAATTTGCAGTGCACCCCCCCACCCCCACCCCCACCTCCACCACCAAAACAGAAAAACAAACAGAAAACACAGATGGCTGCCTCTCCACCCACAGTTCTGAGTCAGAAGGTCTGAAGTAAGGCTGAAAATGTGCATCTCTGACAAGCCCCCGGGTGCTGCTGCTCTAGTTCTTGGGAGCAGACTCCCAGGAGCCCTGATCTAGCTGTACCCACTTGTGCTATGAGAGAACTGCATTTCCTAACAACCAAGAGTCTTAGCAAGCCTACTAGCCAACTGGGTTTGGAGGACTATGTCCATTCTGATGAAGATAAACTGAGATCAAATGTCTTGCATATTTGTTTGATGACGGTTTACCTGGTGGTGGTCTTCTACAAGTTGGTCATTTATTTTTCTGTTTTTTTCAGTGACTCAAGGTTTCTTAAGTTTCCAAGCTAAACAGGAGTACTGCCTGAAGCCAGAATGCATCGAAGCCGGTAAGTTCATTTTCCACCCTGCGTCAAGTTATAATTATGGTACCTTGGAGAGTAGAGGAGAAAACAGGTGGTATTTTTAGTATTCTGTTTGCTTGAGGTTTACCAAGTATGAAATGCAATTTTGAAGAAATTTTAAGTCTACTCTCAAGTTTTGGTGTGAAGTGGTGGAGGCTAGGTTTCCTGGGTCATCTTTCCTTGCCAAAACCAGCTGTGTGATATTCTGAGCCTCATGATAAGGAACTCAGGAAGGGGCTTGAAAGATTGTATGGCCTTTCTTAGGACCCACAGGCAGAGGCCATCCTATGGCTCAGCTGGCTATTTATCTTACACGGTCTTTGTGTATCTTCTGGTTAGTTGGTCCGACCTGCTTGCCTCTAAGCAGAGATCCTTTGTAAGTCTGTGGTTCCATTGCCTCCTGGAATCCCTTTGGGACCTCCTCCTCTCCGTCGTCATCATCATCACCATCATTTTCTTTCTATTCCACTTTTTAAGTCCAGCCTCTCTTGAGGTGACCAGGTCATGTATCAGCGGTGCACCAAAGTGAGTTTCACACTTGAAATTGCCTCAGGTTTCTCACAGCTACTAGATCCCATCCTCCCCGACAAATCAGTGTTAGGGGCTGGATGGGCAGAAGTGGATTCTAACACCCATTCTTATTCAAGTGGGCAGGAATCCTACTGCATTTTCTAAAGGGGAGATCATAGGACAAGTTATACACATGACTTTATTTTTTGGAATTTTTTTTTTTTTTTTGATACCAGGAATCTAACTCATGATCTCACCTTGCCAGGCAGGTGCTGTGCCAATGAGCTATATCCCTCACCCTTGCACATGACTTTAAGAGAACAATGAATGATTATACCAATTTTTTTTTTTGGGTGCTAGGAATCGAACTTAGGACCTTGAGCTTGCCAGGCAGTTGCTGTGCTACTGAGCTATATCCCCAGCCCAGAATTTACCAAATATTTATACACACCAGGTGCTATGTTAGGTTTTGGGGATACATCAATGTATCACAGATAGGGAAGAAAAACAGTCAAATACCACACAAGACAATTAGTGCACAATAATATTAGCCAGTGGTACATGTAATGGAGCAAAATAAAATATTAAAACAGAATAATGGGATAGCAACCGACAGGATGGCTAGATTGAAAAGTCTGAAGATGTGACCTTGAAGGGGGCCCCCAGCAGACACATAACTGCTGTGTGAAGTCTGAGGCAAAGGCTTTCCAGGTAACGTAAAGGTCCCACAGTGGAAACAGCTTGAGGGATCAGGGGAACTTGCTGAGTAAGGGACACAGTAAAAGTGATGGAGGGCAGTGGGTGGCACACGTGCTGAACATTTGGGTTTTTATTGAGTGTGTTCAACAGCCCCTGCAGGACTTTCTTTTTAAAGTACGACTTAGGAGTACTTAAAAGATCTCTCAGTGGAGAACTAGACTGTGCAAATCTCTCCATGGGGAGAAGGACCAGAGGGAGCAAGAGTAGAAGAAGGGTGCTCAGAGAGGAGGTGACTGCAGTAGACCAGATCAGAGAGAGCAGATGCTGCCTTGAATTCAAAAGATGGAGGATGTAGAAAGTTTAGGAGCTAGAGCCCTGCTGATGCTGCTGAGAGATTTATTATAGGCTGTGAGAAAAAGCAGAGACTTCAAAGTGATGCTTTGATGTTGGATGATGGCATTATTGAGATGCAGAGACTTAGGTGAATGAGCTTGTAAATTCTGAGGACTTAGGCAGTGGTGATGTGTTAGAGTCTTATGTTACTAAAGATTTTTCCCATTCATAAGCAATCAATATATTTTTAATCAGGCAATGTGTTGAGTGTTACACATACTATCTCATAAAACCTCCATAAGTCTGTTCTCACCAGCCCTACAGATGAGGGAATGCAGGCTACTGCAGGCTAAATAACTTGCCACTAACTCACGTTCTCAGTTAGTGGCAGAGCTGGGATTCAAGTCCAAGGTTGGCTCCTTACCATTTTTCCCTTGGTACCGTGGTGCCATGCTAAATCTTTTGTTCTCTTTCCATAACACCAGACTAACTAAAATCTAGTGACTAAACCATTTCAACTCTATGATATCTGGAATGGTGATTTTCTTTTCTTCTGGAGTGATGTGAAAATTCCGCGCAAAATTCTTTTTCCTCGTTTGAGCAGTTGACCTGGAGCCTTTTCCAGTGAAGACAGATATGATGGAGCAGGTGTGGGACCAGGCGGCACAATCAGAGATCAAGTTTTAAATTTCATGTCATCTAGTACTTTTGCTGTGTTAGGATTCTTGCAGATATAGGAAATTGAAATTTTTGAAATCATAAATCTTCAGTTGTGTTTAGACCACTTTATGTAAGGAAGGTTACTTATTTCATAAATTTTGCTTACTAAAAATCATAACAATGCCACAGTCCAACTTGTAAGTTGGTAGACTGACGTGTGATGATGTCACTTTCTGCTAGCTAGCATGTTTTGCCGTGATGTTTCATTTTTAATCTTCACATTGATAAATGGCTTTCTAAAAATATATATATACATATATATATATATGTATATATATATTTGTTTGTCTTTTTGAGACAAGGTCTCGCTATGCAGTTCAGGCTGGCCTTGAGCTCACTCTGTAGCCCAGGCTGGCCTCGAACTCACAATGATCCTCCTACCTCAGCCTCCCCAGTGCTGGGATTACAGGGGTACACCACCACACCCAGCACTGTTAATCTGATTGTGCTGTTTCCATTGACTATGCTGTTTCCATTAAGGCTCACCAAAGGCACAGTTCTCTCTAGTGCAATATAAGCCTCAGTATCCCAGGAGTGTGTGGAACAGCTGTTAAGTCACATGGCAGGAGAACTGTGGCCAAGCCAGGGCCTTACAAGAGCTGAGGTGTGTGTGGGTGTGTGGGGTGTTCATAGGCATAGGTGCACGTTTGGGAAGTTCAGGAGAAGGAAGTGTGTGATCACCTTCTGTCTCATTTCTTCCTTTCATTTTTCTTTCCTCCTCAGCTCCCTGTCCTCTCCTACTAATCTTGCTTTTGAAATGCCAGCTGTAGAAAGAATACAAAGAAACAAAGAAGTGACATGCTGATGGCAGTGGATAAGGGTAGATGAGCTAACTTGGGTTTGAAGCATCATCTGGCCACTTGTAAGCCACATGATCCTGGGCTAAATACATAACCATCCCAAGTTGCAGATTCACTACCTGTAAAATGGGAATAACAGTTTTTTAAACAACTTGTTAGTTGTGAGAATAAAAGAAAATAATGATAGTAGTAACCCAAGTGCACAATGCCCTCTACCAGAAAATATGGTAACTCCCAGCTGGCATGGCCAAATCTGATCTCAGTGCCTTCGATGGCAAAACCAAATCTTGCGTAAGGCTGTTTTAGACTTTATTGTTCTCAGGATTATATGCATTTTTCTCCCCATAAAAATATGAATGTGCTTGCTTCAGGGGCTCACTCCAGACATTGTTGAGATAGTATATCATCTGTGGCTACACATTACTTCTTTTCCAAAATCTGAAAATCTATAACTCTGAAAATATAGCCTCAGGGTTTCGGATGTGTTTATGGCATTGTAATAGCAAATAGTATATAGCAAGTTTTTATGTTCCCAGATATATCTAAATACATATATAGGATATACAGTTAAGTTGGAATTATACAGTGATGACCACCTCTTTTTGGTATAAATATGTCTCATGCAATATTTCACATGTACTTATTCTAGAAAGTAGTTTATCTTAAATTCAAACTTCACTGCACACCCTGTATTTTATCTACATCTATACAGTAGTATGCCTGACATCGTTAGAGATGTTATAAGCACTTTACATATACTTGCTCATTTAATTTTCATGGTGACACTATATGGTGTTATTATTATTATCCCCCTTTTACAGATGAAGAAAATGACACGTAGCAGTTTAGCAGTCTGTTATTTAGTTAGTGGGTGTTGTTGCTGTCATTTCAAATGAAGTAGTCTAACTCTAAAGTTTGTAATCGTGCTATACTGCGTGAAGAGGTCTTTGCGTAAAAGTTCCTGGCACAGAGGAGATGCTTAGTGTTAGTGATTTTATTTGTATGCAAATAATAAGGCTTAAGCCCTAATAAAGTTTTCCTTTGAACCATGATTAAGCCTAAAAACTCAGATCCGCATAGGGAGGATGCCTCCCGCCGCTCCACATGCTCTAGCTGAAGACTGGCCAACGGCTGACCTCATGTGCAATGGCTTGAGAAAGCCCACAGCCTGAGCTTTCACAGGTCTCCTTCATGATCACATTCTTTTATTAAAACAAGACTTGCTTGATTTTCTCCATGGAGCTGAGTAGGGGGAAAGGGGTTTTTGTATCTTGACAACTACGGTCCCTTGCAATTTCAAGCCACAGTTCCACTGCAGTAAGTGCAGCCCTGTGCCCAGCTGTGAATCATGAATGATGAATTGTGAGGCAGGGGGAAGAGTTTTCTCACTCAGCGGGTTCCTTTCAAAATTCACTGTGAGTCATGCAGCCCCCACTTCTGTGTTAGGGCCGAGGTGAGAGCTGACCTTGCAGTTTTCCTAGGTAGCTGCAAGAAAACCAAGGAGATGGAGAGGATGCATCTGAGGGTTGGGGGCAGGGGAAGTTTGGGAAGGAAGCCAGAAAGCAGCGAGTTTATATGAGTAACAATGTGCATGAGGGCTCCCCTATGTGACTGTAAATATTGTGTGGGACTGAGGCTTATGTGATCCATGTCCCGGAGGTGTCACATAGCAGATTCATCCTGTGGCTGCACAGACTAACTATAAATACAAACTGCAAGGGAGATTTTGTAGTCTTGGCAGGTCTGCATATTAAATAGTAATGATAAGATGATAGCAGTGAGCAAAAATGTAATTAGAGACAATGGAATTAGCTCTGAAAAGCAAAAACATTAAGTCAGTTTGAAATTTATCAAACTTGTCAACCAAGTTTTTGATGGTTGTTTATTTTGGGGCAGGGAGGTTGCAAATAGTAGGGATTTTGAAGTCCTATAGAAACTTGGATGTTTGTATATTAGTCACTTCGGTCAGGATGAGAAGCTCTTGGACATTTTCATAGAAAGTCTAGGCTAGAGAAACAGCTAGCCTTGTTTTTGAGCCTGGAAGAGCCACTCATGTAACAAAAACTACAAAATGTATTTCTAAATTTATGCAGATTTTATCTGGGGGGTAATTTATTCTTATTTAGCTGAAAACTCATTGGGCTTTTATTACTTCAAACAGCAAGATATTGTGGCATTAATTAAAGTAAAAAATTGCCCACAATATCACCCTTCCAATGTCATTAAAATATTGGGTGCCTTTTTGTACTAAGTTGGTGTAGATTTTTGTGCTGGAGAAGTAGCCAGCAATTGTATCAGTTGGAGTCCAATGTTAGGAATTTAGGAACACTCTCATTTTGTAATGAAATGTTTTCTTTCAAAGCTCATGGATACATATTTATGTACAGATTTCCTACCTATGGGAAATCTTCCTTATATATTTGTGTATGGACTTACGTAAGAAGGAAAATGATAGATCAGTGCATTGTATCTTTCTGTTAATTCATATGAATACTCAGTTCTGCCCTTACACCTGGGACCCTCATTTAGGAAACCCCACTTTAGCCCTCCTCTGGCTATGCCTTTCCTACATGGGCCAAGTCTACAGCCCTCTCCTGTAGCCCAGAATTCTCTGCCAAATGGCCCTAACTCACCAATTGTGGCCTTTGTGAGTGTCTTTTAGGGCTTTAGTCTTCTGAGAGCTGCGCTAGATGGCAAGGGCCTCAAGAAGCCATAACTAGCCTTCCAGGTTGTTATAAAGACACATTGTAAATAGATCTTTAAAATATGTAGATAGATGGCATCTGAACCTCTTTCTCAGTTACCCTTTACTGTGAAACAAACCACCCCTTGGAGGTGAAATAGGAACGATGTAATATTTCTCCTGGTTCCATGGGTTTTACAGATGGTTCTCTAGGCTTTGCACAGCTGCCTTCCTCTGGATGGTTGCATGGGCTGGAAGGTCTGTGATGGCCTCAGTCACACATCTGGAAGTTAGTACTGGCTTTGTTCTTTTCCATGTGGCCTCTTGTTCTCCAGGAGACTTCTCCAAAAGCTGGTCTTGGGGCTCCATTTGAAGGGAGTTAACCTGGAAGGTTCAAGGCCTCTTGGACTTAGCTTTGAAACTCCCAAATAATCTATTTTTGCTAATTTTGTTGGCCAAAGCAAGTGACAAGGCCAGCCCATATTCAAGGTAGAGGAAATGGACCCTAGTGGCAAAGTCACTTTGCAGAAAGACATGTGGGATAAAAGAGTCACATTTATCTTTGCAAAAGAATCTACCACATTACTTCATTTGTATTCTTGTCCCATAAGCCACAGATGTTAGGAACGATCCTGAAAAACCAATAACAATAACACCACCAAACTTTTACCCACTCATGCTGGACACACTCATTTCCTAAAGCAAAGTTGATTCAGAAAGTTATTTGAGGGGAAATGTAGAAGCCAAGGTTTGGGAACTGGTTGATATGAAATTGTTGTTTAATTTGGAAAAGAACAGCACACAGTGTTCAGTGCTTGTCATTAATCCTATGATTTTCTTTTTAAATAGCTGCTGCCATATTGAGTAAAGTAAATCTGTCTGTGGATCCTTGTGATAATTTCTTCCGGTTCGCTTGTGATGGCTGGATAAACAGTAATCCAATTCCTGAAGATATGCCAAGCTATGGGGTTTATCCTTGGCTGAGACACAACGTTGACCTCAAGTTGAAGGGTAAGTTTCTACAGGAGGTTGGTGATGCACTTTACAGACACCAGTAGTTGACAAGAAAAATATAGTTTGGGATTTAAAGTGTGACTACTCACTTTTTCACTGTACTAAATCCATTTTCAAGAATTGCTTTTTAAATGGAAGATCAAAAGGGCAGAATTCTATTCTCCCAGATCTCAACCAAAGTAGGTTATGTTCATGTTTGATTATGCAATAGTTAAGTTCCTGCCAAAGGTTAAATAGCATTTGATTGAGATTGGGAGCAGAGGAATAGTTAACAAAAATTATGTTATATCATTAAACTTGTGTGTTGTTTTCAGGGTCAACTTCATTTCTTGCTTATTGTGTCCTGGATTTTCATGGCTTACAAAATGTACTTAACACCTCATCGTCTTTTGACTTCACTTTAGAGAACTCTGGATGACCTGTGTTTGTCATATTGTTCCTGTTAGCTTCTAAGCTGGCTCTAGAGAGACTCACTTTTCTCCCATGGCCTCCTCTAGCAGTGACAAGCTCACACTCACATACTCACATGTGCGTGCATACATACATACTCACGTGTGCTTGTGTTCTTCCCTGAAGAAGTTGGAAATAATCTGTTACTGGAACATATCATGTTTGCGTTGGATTTAATTTTTATGCTAAGCTATTGAAGAAATCCATCTGAGGAGGGGAGTAGGAAGATTTGAAAGCCAGATAAGGTAATTGTTTTGAGAGAGTAAAAATAGCATAGATTTTCCCCTCTTTTTGACAGCTGTGAGTTATGCTGTGTAACTTGCGTTCAGTAACACCTACAAAGAATTCCTGAGAACTGATAAGAATTATAAAATTTTTCTTTTGCCTCACCATTTTTCCAAGATTTCAAGTCCATGAAAACTAAAGGTGTATCCACTTATATATACAGTACTTAATAACACGTGAAGCCATTTGCAAAATAATTAGATACCAGTTGTTAATCGTAAGGAAAAATACAATTAAATTTCACAACTGGGAATAAATTGCATGGGCTTGTATTTTCTAGTAGAAAGCTCAAAGTTAGGCTCAATAACTTATAAAGGAGAATCTGAGAGAATTTCAAGGTATTCCTCTAACCTAATAGATGAGATTCCCATGCTGTATAACCCTAAATAAGACCTTGAACAGTGAATTTATAGAATAATATTTATTTCTCTCTAAGACATTGATTCATGTTAGTTCTTCATTTACCATTCTTATCCATCTTCTGTTTTTCTTCTCTGGCTCTTTTTCCTTGATAGACAAATGTTCACACACAATCATGCAGCGGGAATATCACATCAGCGAAAGATAAGAAAATACCAGATTTCCAGATACATGCTCCCTTTTATATTAGTTATAACCAAAGGATTTTTAACGTCAGGACATGGAGTGATTACAATCATTTAAAGAACTTCCTGGGGATAACTTAATTTAAAGATTAAGTGAAGACATACTGTGTTTGAGGAGGATACTGTATATGGGCTCCTTTGAAATTCATAGAAATGAGAGTAAATTGTGCAGAGCAGTACAGGGTTTTTGGTTTGTTTTCTGGCTTTACTTTAGAAATGAAAAATGTTGTGTTCAAGCTCAGTTGGGAAAATGAAAAAGCAAAATGTAGAAAGAAAATTCCCCATAAATCCACGTTTGGCTGGGGGTGGTGACACCTACCAATACTACATAGTGAGACCTTGTCTCAAAAAACCAAAAAAAGAAAAGTCCACATTTGGAAATAATATCTTCTTTCTAGGTTTTATTCCATGTATGGGTTCATATGCATAACCTCATATGCACACCCATATACTAGGCCTGATAAAATATACTGAATATTTAAATTTAAAAAATTATTACAATAAAAGACATTGCTCCGCTTTATATTGAGATGTCCTCCCAAAGCCTCATGTGATCTTGGGTGGGGATTTTGGAAGTGATTGGATCATAGGGGCTTGTAGCTGACTTGCTATTAGGAGGTGGGGTCCGACCTAGAGAAGTGGGGTGATGCGGCCGTGGCCTGGAGGGATTTGTCTCCCTCCCAGGCACCTCCCTTCTCTCTCTGCTTCCTACATGACAAGTCATGAGCAGCGCTCCACCATGCCACCCTGCCCTGGAGCCAGCCAACTGGAGACTGAGACCTGTACCAACTGGGAGCCAAAATAAATGTCTCCTCCTTTAATTTGTGAGTGTCAGGTATTGTGTCCTACTAAGTAGGAGTAAGACACTGCTATTAATTTACTTCAAAGTATTCCCCCTCTCTTTAGACACTTATCCCATCGTTCTTGACACATCCTGAAGCAGTTCTAGAAGACTCCCTCCTTCTCCTTCTCCTTCTCCTTCTCCTTCTCCTTCTCCT